AAAATGTTTATTTCAACCATTCTACAGTTGCTCGTTGGGTCTGTCAGCTCAGGACTCACCTGCGTACAGGTTTTTGACTTTAGATCTGTTTACTCTGGATTGGCACATCAGTTGTTGTCCTATTCTGCTTCTCTTAGACCAAATTATATTTATTATTCTCTGTTGGGTGTTCAGTTTGATACTGATCACGTTCCAAGGAATTCCAATCTCCATATAGACGGCAAGACATTTTCTTTAAGCATCATTGTGATATTATATACATATTATTGATAACACAGTAAATTGGTATGGCCCAAGAAAACAGTTTAGAGGTCTGACTGGACTTGTGCATTGTCACTTCTATGGCGTATCCTGACTTGTGATGATCAGTAGGAAAGCCTTTGTTTCTAAAATTAAATGATTCTAAAAGTAATAGAAGGAAACATACATGATTCAAGAGTGGAGCTTAAAAATAAATTGGATTCAAGCAAGTAAATTAGGTATTTCTAATCCTGGAAATTAAAAACACATCTAAGGGAACCAGCAGTTAGCGTAATGGCTATGTCGCTGGGCTCCCACATAGTCGACTGCGGTTCGTGTCCCGGACCCGGTGGCTTAAAACTCACGCCGGGTGCGTGTGCGTGCGTGCCCACGATCCCGAGAGGAGAATGGAGGAGAAGGGATTGCGGCGTGACCATCCCCCCTGGGGGGTGATTTCTCGCTTTCTGTCTCTATGTCTCTCTCTGTCTGGCGAGCGCACGCGCCCTACAATGAAAATCTCTCAAAAAAAAAAAAAAACACATCTAAAACAAAAATATCATTAAAAGTAAAAGTAAGAATTAAAGAAATACACATTAAAAATAAAGCAGAAACATCTCAATTTACATGAGATAAATGTCCACAAAGGACCTACGGATAAATAGCAAATTAATATTGCTTTAAAGTATAAGTATCTAAGTCTGAAGCTGGAACTGTTATGCTTGCTACACAGGGTGAAATGTTGAGACCAGAAATGATAGGTTAGTTGCCAGCACAAACAAATCGAGTAGTGTTTTAAAAATCTAAGATATTTGCTTAATAACATAAAATAAAAGTTAAAAAGTGGATATTACTTTGAAATATTTGTTAGAAAAAAATTCTGTTTGCAGTCATACCAGTTTGAGTAATTATGCCTCTGATTTGAATGAAGAAAATGTATGTACTAAATTGACTTTATTTTTAGACAGAAAATAGACTTACTTTTGTTTGTTCAGAAAAAGAAAAAAAGGCAAAACTGTTCAAGCCCTAAACTATTGTCTGAAGCCAAATACTAGGAACACTGAATAAAATAATAAATGATAAAAGTGGCTCATATTCTTTACGAGAGATTATACATTTTCTATTAATCCTCAAAGCACAAGTAAATACCAATTTGTAATAGTTCATAGATACAAAATGGAAAACTGGTCATAAAAGAGAAAAAGCACAGACATCTAGTGTTTCCACGGGAACACTTGAGTAATATGATGAACAGTGTCAGCAAAATCCATTCCGGGAAACATTTCATAATCTGATTGTCTCCGTAAACATAAAACATTGACTTCTCCATCTGACAAACCCCAGCATCAATGAATTAACTACACAATGTTCTGCCAATCATATCCCTGATCGCATGACACAAAATGTAAAAGATGAAAATAGTTCCAATCTTTATGGGAAAGGATCAATCGGACTTTTAACCTGCTCAATCCTGTCACTGTTGTTCGATAATAATTTATCCTTTGAATGCTACTTAATTTAGCCTTAATTTATTTTCTGGCAAATGACTCCAGGCCAAAGCAAACTTGAATTCAATAAGAATTCATTTTCTCTTCTTAACCTTCCTCCTTTAAAAGATGTTATAACACAAATTGTTGTAGAGTTTTTAACTTTTTCAGAATGTAATGTATTTAATGAAGATGAGTAGATCAAGCCAAAATTGTGTATCATCTCTTTTTGAAAGTATAAGTTTCTGATGATGATGAGAGAGTGAACAGATCATGTAAACAATTGCTAAGTAAATACAATTAAAAATATATACTTGAAGATGTTATAACTAGCATCTATCATAGATCTATCTATTTCTTTAACTGAAAAAGGATCCAAATGCAAAAAGAAAGGGGGGGGGGAGCAGTTGAAAGTTTAAAAATGAAACTGGAATAAGAAAAAACAGAAGTTGTGATTTCCAAGCCCAAGCATGCTGTTAAACCTCTGTCCTTGCATCTCCTGAGAAAGACCACAGCCTGTTCAAGGTGCCAGGCAGGAGAGTTCGGAACTGAAAATAAAGGTAGAAAATATAAAGGAAAAATCCAAGACAACATAAAATCACAAGTTAAAGAATTTACAATTAATAACCTCAGAAAACTAAGGGGAGATAGTGCATCTACCAAATAAAAACAGGATAGCAAGAATAAGGGAGAATCTAACAAATGAAAAATGCCATGAATATTTTTTTCTTGAATTATTTTATTTAAATCTATTTATTTATTTATTTACTTATTTTAATCTGACCAGAGAGGGACAGAGCAAGAGAGAGTGAGAGAAAGTGAGAAAGCAAGGCACCAATTCCAGGATTTGAACCATAGTCAGCCGTGTGGGAGCCCAGCATCCTTAACCAGCATGCCACCTGCCAGCCCCTATTTAAAATAAGATAACAAAAAGGATGAGTGGTACATGGGTAGGAAGATCTAATTACAAAGATTTAACTGAATTAGTATTAAATTAAAAAGAAGAAACATAATTAAAATATATGAATATGATAGGTATCAATTTAATATTTCTGAAACCCTCCGTGTGTATGTGTGTGTGTGTGTATGTATGTGTAATTAAGGAGACAAATATATGAAGAAAATAATACCAGAAAGTTTCTAGAATGAAACTTTAAAATGTCATATTGAAAATGTATGTTTAGTACCCAGCAAAAGCGATGCAAAGATCTAAAGGCTTATTTTTGTGAAATCTGAACGTACCAGGGATGAAGAAAAGACTTCAATAGCTTACAGAAAGAAAAAAAGTTTTCCTATAAAGAAATAGAAATCAAAATAAATTCATACTCCTCCATCTCAACTTATATTGGAAGAGAAATTAAAATTGATTCATACCTCTCACATGTCAAAAACACTGGAAGCCAGAATAAATGGAATATGCTCTTAAAGTCCTGAAAGAAAATAATTTTCATCTTAGAATTTTACTCACCAAATCTATCAAGTGAGAAGATAAAAAGTATCTAGACATGCAATGACTGAAAATATTTTCCCCCTTCAAGCTCTCTTTTTTCAGTGTTGATTACGTCATTATCATTGGACAACATTATCTTTCTTTCCTTCTACCTTACTAGGTTTTCTTTACTTCCAAAATATATTTCTTCCCAATTTTCTCTCCCAATCTTCACTTCTTCCCATCTCATTCTATAGTATCTTCATCTATATGTGTATCACAGGAACATCTTCCTTTTTTCCACAAAACACTCACTAATTCATTCTTCATACGGCATTATATTGCTTTTTGAAATGCATTCGTTCATCTCTAGCTTATCCCAGAACTTTTAAAGGCTGTTTCTTGTATTTGGGATGTAATAAAGATATTTAATGCCCTGGTATTGTAAATATGATTTTTAAAAGTGAGACTAACTTCTCTACGTAGCTCAACTTTTTCCCAACTTCCAGAATCACTTGGATCCATTATCCATACTTTCCCTTTATTCATGTCATGGTAGCCTCTTATATTCTTGTCTATATAAAACTCCTTCTTTATAGGATCTTTATCCCATGTTCTTTACTATATCACATTGGCTCCATTTCCAATTCTTATTCTGTCTAACTCTTGCTCATTCAAACTTCTTATCATCCATTGTGTTGGACTTTTTGTTATTATTTTTACTTTGCCAGAAGGTGTTTGTGCTTACCAGAAAGAGACAAACAGCAGGACAGAGAAAGAGAAAGCGAGAAAGCACTCTCTTGGAGAATGGTTACTCTGTGACCCCTTTTTCTTCACTTTTCCCTCCTGTCAGGATTTTGGGCATGCACGTGCTTCTCAAGTTGCTGGGTCCAGTACTTTAAACTCATAGTTGACCATGTAGGCTGTAGTTGCCTTAACCATCACATCCCCAGCTGGCCCTGTGTTGGACTTTTAATAAAAACAGTGCTCATGCCCATTTTTTGACACCAGTGTGTACCATAGTAACTGCTACAAAGTGGCTGCTGAAGAAAACTTTTATGAATAAATAAGTATGTAAATTTTTCCCTTTGAAATTCTTGGGCCAGCCAGGTGACATGGTGGGTGCTTTCTCTCTTTCCGTCTCTGTCTCTCTCCAGCAAGCACACTCATCCCATAACAAACTAACTAACTAACTACATAAACAAATAAAATTAATCTTTCTGAAGGAATAAAAATTAGGACCTTTTCACTTGTTGAAAAAAGTAGGTAGGTTATGTCTAATTTCAAGAATAATGTATTGCAAGATTCAAAGCAGTCAAATGTTAGAAACATACCTGAAGTATTTTAAAGGCTCTTTTAAAAAATCTTTTCCCCATTTTCTTTGTCTTCTTTCTTACTTTTCTGACACTTAAAAATTTAATTATCATACATTTGGACCTACCTCAAAGTGAGTTAAATATCTAATGACAGATTTTAGGTTGAATTTGCCAAATACATGATCATTGCAACTTTATATTATTTATAAAAAAAAAAATTCCCAACTTTCAATGCAGTGAGAATTTAATAATGGTACCAGATCCATTTTTCTTACTAGCAATCGTTTCTTGCAGGGAAATGCTTTCTCAGTTTCCTTCCAGGGAAATAGTGCTAATGGGGTATAGTCTGGAGGAAACAGAGGCAATCTATATAATATGACTATGCATAGCAATTTAAATAAGATTTTAATTTTATTTAACTACTCATTATAATCAGAAAAAAAATAATACTTTTTATTAAAGAAATTTCAGAAGCACAGACGAGTTGCAAAAATGGCAACATGAGCCACTATATCCTTTATTTAGATTCATTATTTACTCCTCTTTCTTCCTTGGAGTGTACATGTGTCATCACTTCTTCACTTTCTCCTCTTCTTCCTCTTTGTTCTTCCCTTCATTTGTTGAATCATTCTCATTGTTTAATTATTGTCAAATAATTACAAAGTAGGTTGTTGACATCGAAATCCTTCAACTCTCAAGATCCCCTCATCCATTTCCTAAGAACAAAGTCATCGCTTTACATATCTATAGTATAATGATTAGATTCAGAAAATTTATCCCCATATAATGCTATGACACATTATCAACTCTATTTATATGAGTGCAATTAGGTTTTCCTCAGAATTCTTTTTTTTCAAAATGAAGATGCAATCTAGCATCACTTATTTCATTTAGCTACTATGTCTTTTTTGTCATTTTCTGGAATAACTTCTCAGACTTAAGTTTTGATTTTTCATCATATGATAGTTATAGTTTCAAATTGGGATAATGTATATATGTGGCATGTATTATATCTTGTTACCCCAGTCAAAAGAAAGCTCAATCCATGATTAGACTTGATTTTACTGATGTGTTGAAGGAGATGTTGGAAAAATTGCTTCACATTTTTAAGTCTTTATATCTACACAATTATTTTCATACTATTTCTCTTTTTTAAGATTTTATTTAATTTTCTTCTTATTCATTTAATTAGTTTATTTGTGTATTTATTTATTTATTTAAATTTTGACTAGAGAGAGAGACAGAGAGAGCAAGAGGGAACAGGAGAAAGCAAGCCGCCAGGTCTGAGACTCGAACCAGAATCGACCATGTGGGAGTCCAGTGCCCTTATCCACCAAGCCTCCTGCCGACTCTGGTTTCATACTATTTCATATCTAAATTTTATTTTAGCTTTAGTAGCCTGTAACTCTTAAAAAAATTTTAATCTGGGTTTGTGTGGCCTAAAAAATTCCAGAAAGAGTAGAAAGTCTCCCTTCTGTTTTAATAACAGCCAAGTTGATTAGTTGCAATTGGCCAAAACCAGACCAAAAAAAAAAAAAAAAAAAAAGAAATCCTAACCCCATTAACTTATTTTGGATCTCATTAAACTTTTAAATTCCCTGACTTTCTCTTTCCGTGCTCTGTTTCAAGCTTATTTTCAGCAGTGTTTTTTTTTTTTTTTTGCCTTTTTTTTGGCAAGCATATTTGGAAAATGCACAGATTGAGTACCAGTGTGGGAGGAATTATACAGCTTAAAACATCCCATGAAATGATCATGGGTATTTCAATTTACTTCAGGATTAATTATAGTCCTATAATTCTCACATCAAGGCAGTCTGTGGGTTAGAGGCTGGGCTGAGAGAATTGTCAGCCTCGTAATGACATTCAAGGGGAGTGACAGACTGAAACAAAATCTCTACCAGTTTGAACTTAGACGTTAAAAAGGTCATATATGCATTAAGGAAAAGAGACACTGAGGGTAGACAAAAAGATAACTGCAGAAACCATTTAGGCACGATATTTTAACATCATTACAGATACTTAACAAGAATCCAGAGAGCAGAATGAAAAATCACTCTGGGGACAGTATAAGGAATGTAAAATAGTTAAGCATATATTAAAGATATGAAGTTTTCATCACAAAAACATCAATATTTTGGGATGTTTCTTTTGACATTGTTCAAGCAATAAATTACATATATACAAAACAATTTGTTACTTTCATGCCTGCCACCTTAAAATTGTAAATTTTAAATAGAAAAGTATTAAGGACAGTTTAGGATTGCACTGTGATTCCTAGAACTAAAATATTCACAAAAGAAAGATGCATGATAAATGGTCACTCTATCTGTATCTATCATCTGTGTTTGATATGTATATGCATATATGTGCATAAATACTTCTCTATAAATATATGAGTGTAATAGATCATTTTTATTGAGTACTTCCTTGGAAAGAGGTGCTAAGCACTTCACATGAATTACAACTTTATATAAATTATGCCATTTAGTCTTTTACATATCCCTGCATCCATTGTCCCATTTTGCAGTCAGGGAAACCAAGTCAAAATATGAGTTAAGGGACCAGCAGTTAGTGTAATGGCTATGTCGCTGGACTCCCACGTAGTTGACCGCGGTTCGTGTCTCAGACCCGGCGACTTAAACTCACGCCGGGCGTGTGTGCGTGTGTGCCCAAGATCCCAAGAGGAGAATGGAGGAGAAGGGATTGCGGCATGGCCATCCCCCCTGGGGGGTGATTTCTCGTTTTCTGTCTCTCTGTCTCTCTCTGTCTGTCTGGCGAGTGCACGTGCCCTATAGCGAAAACCTCTCCAAAAAAATAAATAAATAAATATGAGTTAAGTAAGTTATTCAGAGCCAGATCGAATGTTAGAACTCATAGGGAAACAGATCACGTGTGGTTAAAAGCCATGTCTTTTGTTTTTAAAATTTATTTGATCTAAAGACTTAATAGTGACTCACATATGCACAGTGATTTCTGTTTGTGAAAAAAAAGGGAATTAAATTATGAATTGATTTCGGTGAAAAAATTTTTTGAAATCCATGCAGTTTTTTTCCCTAAGATACATTTCTATGTGTATGGATAACTTACACAAAAGCTATACATATTTTATATTCACAAAAATTATTGCATACATATGTATTTACTATTTATTTTCTTAATTGCGTGAGGAACTTAGACTGGGTACGTGGGTGGTCCTAAGGTAAATTTGATGGGACTGTGGCTCTGAACTCTAGTGAAAACATTGTTTTCTTGGTCACTATGACCTTCAAATGCTATAAGGTTCAAGACTGTGGGAATGGGAAGGGAAATACTTAAAATAATAATGAGAGGGGCTGATCTTAACTCTGTCACATGTTTTGCAAGTCTTGCTATGGTATCCAGAGCAAAACACATTGGTTGTAAATTTGAGGTTCAAATAGAACTTTTTGGGGGCAATGACCCAAACTCAAAAGATGCTGTTTCCTGACTGATATTGTAACTGAGCTTTCAGCAGGCCATTCATTTATCAAGCCAGTTGCTTTAGGATCACAAGGTGCCTGGTAATACCAATACATTTCTTAGGTGTTAGTTCCATACCTCACTTTCTTTGCTGTAAAATGAGTTATTGGCTGTTTGTGATTAACAAGACTTTTTGACTGTCCATGAATGATGACTCTGGCAGACATATTGCACAAAATGGAGGAAAAATTTGTATTGATATATGTAAAACAAAGGACTTCTCTTTACATAAATAGAGGAGTCCAATGTGTGACCAACTTGCCAATAGATGGACAGCAAGTTCTCTATGGGGTAGTGCTATAAAGATGATCTCATATAAAATACTGGACATTTGGTAGGGGCAACAGCCCACAAATTTGGTGAATATAATTCTATGCCATGGACCCTATACCAAGCCTTTAATACTGTAGCCTTGGTTATGTTATTAATGACCAGTAAATTATACTGGGTATTTGTGACTGACAGAATTGGGTGTATTACTCTTTCCACATGGTTATTGAGAGCTCCTCTGTAGGGAATACCTTCTGTGGAGCATTTACATGAAATACAGATTTCATTTTACCTTGTTTCTGCTTCAAAAATGTCAACCAACCTATCTTTTCCAAAAATGTCCTCGTCACCAGTCTTTCAATTTTGTTCTAAGACCACCAAGAAGTGGTCACCTTATTTAACTTGTTTTGTGTGGGACAGTGTCGATCTTTATTTCAAGTCACCTATTTCCCTACACATAGTCAGATACACAACCTAAAGTTCCACTTATGAGGCTTTTCCTTCACTACCATTTTGGGGCCATGTCTAATTAGAGCTGTAGCTATCATTCACTTTCTGCTGGTGCCAGCATATCACGTAGAACACCGACTACAACAGAAATTTTTCTTCTTTTGTTAACTGATCATGGAGATCTCCCTATGATGCCCAAAATTACAATGGGCCAAAACTGGCAATGAAATTTCTAGCCCCATTAACTGTTTTGGTTTTCATTATTCTTTGGGTTTAATGGGTGTTATGAGTTGAGAGGGCACAAGGAGGTAAAGGAGAAAGGACAGTGAAAGTGCTGAGATACCAGATTATCAAATTTACTTGTATCTTCCATGTCTGCTCTCAGACAGTCTCATGCGTATAATTTCCATTAAACTTGGAATTCTGCTGTGCACATACAATCTTATTCAAGATGACACTCTACATGTTGTTGGTTCTAGGCACATAGTAACTTCGGGTACCATGGCCAGGTGTTCAATGTTTATTAGGATACGCAGAAACAAGCCAGAAAAGTACTTGTTAGTAGCAGAGTACATGACCTTATTCCAAAATTCTAGGGATAAAACAGCTTCTCAGAGACTCTATGCAGCATCCCATCTTCCATGGACATCTCAAATACTACGACAATCACAAATTATATTGGCAATGTGAAAAGTACACTACACTGGATCTTAGAATCTCTTAGAATCTAAAATCCCATTTAAACTCATGGCATTTTTCTCCTTTGCAGCATACTCTAACTCTGGCACATGACAACTGGTCCCACTAGGAAAGCTTGGAGGGAGATTCATAATAGAAATATGCAACCATATTGCAAGATCTTAAAGAACTAGAAGCATCTCAAGGTGCTAAATCTGAGAACTAGATAGAAGACCGAAAAGTCCCTCAATTATGACTTGAGTAAGCTTTCTGCCCGTTAGACTTAAAGTGGTTCTGCCTATATCTATCTTTCTTTCTTTTCTTCTTTCTTTCTTTCTTTCTTTCTTTCTTTCTTTCTTTCTTTCTTTCTTTCTTTCTTTCTTTCTTTCTTTCTTTCTTTCTTCTTTGTTTCGAGAGAAAGATTTTTGCTATAACGTATATGCAGTTGCCAGAGGGATTGAGAAAGGTAGAAAGCAAGAAATCACTCCCCAGGGGTGATGGCCACACTGTAATTCCTTCTTCTCCTTTCTCCTTTTGGGATTTTGGCCACACACATACCCACACTCAGTGTGAGTTTTAAGCCTCTGGGTTGGACTTGAACCAGGGAGAGTCCAGCAATGCACCCATTTTATCATCTGCTGGTCCCTTGTGCCTATATTTTTCCAACTGTATTCCCAATTGTTTAATTTCTGGAAAACCAGGGATCAACCTGCCATCTTCACAGACCCTTAGCCTTATTATGGATAGTGCATCCACCATCCACCATACTCTTCTGATGGAAGAGTATCCCTACTTGGCCTTTTCAATGCCAAGATTGGGTTTATTTTCAGACTAAATTGGGGTGAAAGAATTATTAAGAAGGGAGAATTATTAATGATGAGGTGGGATGTCAAATTAGAGGGAGCTTTGTTGACACTTGCAAGAATATTGATATTTACCATGTGTGGGATAAACACTCATTGTGGGTTTTTGAGCAGAGGATGGATATGATTTGATTTTGTTTATAAGAGGTTACATCAGCTATAGATCACATATCATAAATTTACCCCTTTTTACACATGTAATTCAGTGATTATTTAGGTATATTTCCAAAAAATGAACATTTCATGAATATGTGTGTCATCCTCACACAGGCTCATGCTAGTCTCTGTAGGTAATTATCTCAGTATATGTGCTTCTAAAGGAAACACCTGACGCTCATGTTTGTAGAGCCATTCTTCCTGCTGGATTGAAAGTAGACTGAAGAAGACAAATGGCAGGGGGGGGGGGCTTGTGGATTGTTCATGAGATAATCCAGTGAGAGATGATTACTATTCCAACCAGAAAGACATCAGGGAAAAGGTGAGAATTTGTGGGATTCTGAATTACAGTTCAAAGGTAGGCCCTACAGGATTTCTTAATGGGCTGGGTGTGATGCTGTCATTCATTCTGCTCAAAATTAGAACATCTTACGTGAGTAATGGGAACTAGATGGGCCATGAATTTCAGCCATGAACATAAAAGAAAGCAAGATTTTTTTCTCTAGTGCCTGAAATAAATGAATGCAACTATCAGTCTAAAAACACTGAACACACAAACTTGGAGTCAATAAGTGGAGAAGCTGAATTTCACTGGGAGTACCAACTTGAAGACTGAGCAGAGGATATGTTAACAGCAAACTATTAGGGACAAGGGTAAAAAAATTGTGAACATCTATCAATCTGGTACATTGGGACGGCCAAATAAACTTAAGGCTAATCGTTTTAGGTGGAACTAAATTGCCGCTCTATTTTTTGTATGTTTTTCTCTCTTTCTGTTTTTGTCTTAATCTCTCTTTTTTCTATATTTCTCTCTTTCTCTAAATATATATAAAATACTATATAATATATATATATATACATATATATATATCCCTCTTTATCTCTTGCTCACCTTTTTCTCCCTCTGTCTCTTTCTCTCTCTCTTAATTGTTAAAGCACATCTTTGAAAGCTTGTTTTGGATGAACAAAAGAAAGAGAAACATTTTCACACCATGTTAGGGATTATAGGAAAATCAGAGTACCTGGATTCTCAGTCTAGTCATAGTAGCGCTAGCTTGTCCTTAGTGCCCTGTACGTTTAGGAGTTATTGAAATTACAATAAGGTTAAGAAAAAAAAAATAGGAAGGAATATTTTAGGACAAGCAGAGTGGACAAATCTTTCCCTGTCTTCAGTTTTAGAGCTTTTGATCACCAGAGACCTTATTTTTATCACAATTAAAATGACTTGAAAAGTACCTCATCAAACAAGCATGCAAAAGTGAAAGCAGTAAGAAGCCAACTGGGTGCAGTTAATTTTTAATTATACTCTCTCTCTCTCTCTCTCTGCTGTGGCTTTATTTATTGCCAAGCAGCTGTAAGGGTAGAATTCACCAGGGGTAAATCACTAGTTCTCTGTGCACAGGAATATCTTTATAGTACATTGTTCAAAAATAGATTACAAGTGAGATTGACACAATTCAGAACAGCTTGTTTTTTCCTCCTTAAATGTCATGGTAATACAATCTTGTCGCAACAAAGCCAAGGTTGTACAGAAGTGCACAAAAGCTGTAGTTCTTAAATACCTTTTGCGCCCACTTGAGGAAATGTTGTGTTCAAATCAAGAAGAAAAACATTAGTGTTCAAATTAAGAAGAAAGAAAACACCAATTAGAAAAACAATCTGCTAACCCATTTATATTCAGTTCAACAACCATTCTTTATCACATGGAGACTTAAAAAAAAGAAAAAGGGAAATTGTGATACTATGCAAGATTAGATTGATTTTAAATTCTCCATAAACTCCAGGCTTCACTGCGTTTTGCCAAACACAGTCATCCTGCCCTTGGATCTGTCCCTACCTTTGAAGGCTGATGAAATATTCCAGGCTGGCTGCATTCCATTTGAGAAGAAGCCTTATAAGGTGACAGAACTCAGATGTTGTCAAAGATGTTATTACACAATGCGTGGTGCTGATATAAGAATCTACTGAGTGAGAATTGAAACACAGAGTTATGAATTTCAAAACTTATTTAATTTTTTCTAAGATTTATTGATCATGAATAAAATTATACCTAAGGGGGAAAAACAAAACAAAACAAAGAGAAAGGTAGCTATCATCATTCCAAATCCTCTTTTTAAAAATATTTATTTATTTATTTATTTTAAAATAATTATTATCATCATAATCTTCTTTATATTACATTAGGTTACATATAATTTTACAGTGTATTACATTGCTTTTTCAAAAGGGAATGCCATGCATGTCAGTCAATACAGAGACTTTAATCTCTCCACTTCATCATTCAATATCTTTTCTATGTTTTCCCCAATCATTATTATTATTATTCTAATTATTCTTTAAACAGTCACTATTTCTCATTTTGCTTGTAAAAAGACTTTACCCATCATGAAATATTTCTCAGACCAATCCAGTTGAGAATACTATACATGTCATCATCAACAGGTAATAAGTCATATCTGTTTCCCACTAGCGTTCTGCCTCTCTATTCGTTCTCTTGCTATCTTTCTCTATCCTCTTCCCTTCACCCACCCTAATCCACACTGCCCTATTCTTGTTAAGTACTTTCACTGCTTTTATGATTCTAAATCCTCTTGAAGTACAGCTCTTCAGGGTAAATCTTCTGGGATTATATGCATTCTCAAATACAAATGAAAAATTTACAGTCAATTGCCAATAATATGGAAATAAATCAAAGTGCAAGTTCCTTGGAAGATGTGTTGAGGGATTGATAAAGTGTTGATATTTAAATACAACAGTGTTGGAGGCTCTTTATTGTATTTACATTGTGCCACATGTTATTTATCAAGTGTAAATCAATTTCAGTTTCTTTAAGAAAAACATAACAAAATATTGACAGACATTTCTAATATAAAAACTAATTTACTCTATCTCAGATTTTAGATAAGCCTATATGGAAATACTTGTATTGAAAATATATTCTTTTTTACCTTTGGAAATTTGTTTTTGTTTTTGTTTTTATTTTTGTTTGCCTCCCATTTTGAGGAAGCTTTGATGCTTGGAAGAATTTACTTGTATCGAAAATATATTCTTTTTTACCTTTGGAGATTTGTTTTTGTTTTTATTTTTGTTTGCCTCCCATTTTGAGGAAGCTTTGATGCTTGGAAGAATTGTCACTCATTTGAGTGTTTTCTCTCAAATAACATTTCAACTTGTTTAAAAAGGTCATTAACACGAGTACTAAGCATTCTAACTGGTGCGCTCCAATAAGCTACCCTCCCATAAAGGTGTTAAACTGTTAGTTTTAGCCAGTTTAATATGTACACTTCGGGTGTATTTATTGTTAGAGCATTGGAGTGTTTCTTTACAACAGATCCTGACACAAGTTGGTGCATATGTTTCTAATTTACTCACACTTAGCTCATCGAAGTCTGGCTTCGTAGATTCACTGTGATGTCCAGGAAGCTGTTGGGAGATGCTTTTCTTGGAAAAAGGAAATAATGTTCTTTTATTTTATAGTTCACCAAGTGACTTCTAAAGATTTGAATCCATTTCAAATGTATGAAATCACAGACTTCAAGTATGTTCTAAATTTGGCAAGGCATTCTTCCGTTTCTGATTGGAATGATGTCACAGTTTGAAGCTAGAGGCAGAAAAGTGACAAACTCTCTGGACAGAGGAAGCAGAAATTGAATTTCCAGTATTTCTTTCTCTTGAAATTCCCTCGGATCAAGGCCAAAATGTCTGTGTATAGGCATCGTCAACCCATGATGTCCTGTTTCCCTGTAACTCTAGAACAAAGTTACAGCTCATTCCATAACGTTGTTTTTGTATTTTTCTAACTCATTTTAATACTTGTAAAGGATTTTATTGCTCCAGCCCTGACTCTCAGTAAATACTATGTTTACATTTTGGAAGTTTCCTTTTGGAAAGTAGAGCATGTGTTCCTTTCAGGATTGTTGAAGGGAAGACAGAGCCTGGGGTTGAGTTTCAATGCTTTCAAAGTCACAGATTTGGGATCTTTCTGCTTTGTCAGCTATAGAGTTGTGTACAGAATATTTTATCTCTGTGCATCAATTTCTTAAATGTAAAAAGAAATATAATAAAATATTATTCAATAATATTCACCCACAATTTGGGCAAAGAAAAATAAAGGAGACCATGCCTGAGAGTAACGGTGGTTGGTATTCGCAGTGCCTCAACACCTGCTAATTTCCTTCTGTATTTGTACATCTAACAAGAAATCTTTCCACCGTTACTGACAACTAATCCGTATAATGAGTTTTGCTAGATAACAAAAACCTATTTTTAATCACATTTCAAGGAGTGGGATTCCTATGGCAACTGAGATTTATTATCTTATTGTAGAATTCAAAGTGTCCAATGAATGGTGAAACTACGCTTTAAACTAGAATTTAAGCATATTTAATTAAAATTTTAATCAGACACGATAGACTTTTGACCTCTTTACAAAAAAGACAAAAATTGGAGTGCTTCTAGCCACACTCTTGTGCTCTCATGCGCTGCTTTTCTCTCTCTCTTTTTTATTATTTTTTTTGTCACTGCTGTGTCTCCCTGAGCATTTTAGCAACATTGATAAAACTCCCTCAGATGCTAGATGATAACCCACCAGAGCCACAGTTGAGAAGAAAGCTTATCATATGGAGGCTTATTCCATCACCAATCATGTTTTGAAAAAAAATGTGATATTAAAATTACATATGTGGTATGCATATTGTAAATTTTTCAGTGTTTTCTCCATTTTAAATATATTTATGTACATATTATAAATTGTTAAAATGTCCTATTTTCCTGATGTCTCAACATTTCCACAAACAGACTGTGTACCAGGTATATCACTGTGATACGACTGGCCCCTGTCCTCCCTGACTTGGCCCTGGAGACATTCAAATTCACTATAGAACATCTTCATGTCTGTTGTCTGCGTACTCCACCTGACCCCAGTAAGGTTACTGGCTCACCACCGGCACAAATTTGAGCACAGATCTTGGACACATTTCTCATATTGTCCTCCTGTACAGTGTGCTCTACCTCCCATTTCAGGACCTGTTTATATAATAAATCCTATTATTTCATGCATTTCTTTGTATGTAATCTCCTCATCTATGTTGGAGTAGCCTGTAAAGCCCCTGTAGGGAGACTTCTCCTATTTCTAGCACATTCTCACTGAACATAATTTGGACAGTTCATCCTTAATGCTTCAATTCTAAAAATGCTTCTAAATTTAAAAAATGCTTCTAAGTTACTGTCTTATACAATCCTATTAATATTTTAAACTATATTTTGTTCCATCAAGACACTGAAATTGGACAAGGTAAACGAGCCACAGAATGCGGGTAATATATCCTGTGTACAAGTTGTTCTCACTATTGTCGCATCTGCTTTCTGATTGAGGCCATTGCCAGTTGGTACTGCTCTGACCCTGCTTGGCACATCCTGCTGCAATGCACAGGTTCCTGCTGGGGCCCAGGGACTGGTCTCAGCCTTGTGCCTGTCCCAAGCATTTCCACCTCCTTGAATCCTTCTCTGCATGCCTGCCCTCTTATGATCACACTGCTCTTCACAGTCAGGGTGATCTCAGATGAGCGCCTTTGATTTCTTCCCTTCTGGCCTCTAACCTATGTATAACCTCTCCCATCTGTTTTTTCTCTGCCCTCTCAGAGGTAGAAATATCTCTATGTGGCATTTGGCAAAAGCGGTCTGGCATAGTGATAAGGAACATGGCCTTGACTAGAAAAACTTCAACTGACATCTCTAGCTCTTAGCTGTGTGCCTGTATATGAATTTCTGGAATTTTTTGAACCTCACTTTCTCTTTTGTTAAATGGTTAAAATGACCCACACCTTGCCAAGGATGCTCATGAGCATGCTGTTCTACAAACCGATTAACGTTATTTCTTATTTAAGCATCTCTGTTCTCCACGTGGTCTGTCTACGTTTACTATCTACTCATGAGCAGCTGTCATTAAAACATTCTTTTTTAACTTGCAGCTAATAACACATAGCTTTAAATATTTTTTTAGATGTGTATTTCTTTTCTGAACTTGAGAGTTAAAGAGATGGGAACCAGCAGTTAGCGTAATGGCTATGTCGCTGAACTCCCACATAGTCGACCGCGGTTCGTGTCCCGGGCCCGGTGGCTTAAAAACTCACGCCGGGCGCGTGTGCGTGTGTGCCCAAGATCCCGAGAGGAGAATGGAGGAGAAGGGATTGCGGCGTTATTTAAGCATCTCTGTTCTCCACGTGGTCTGTCTACGTTTACTATCTACTCATGAGCAGCTGTCATTAAAACATTCTTTTTTAACTTGCAGCTAATAACACATAGCTTTAAATATTTTTTTAGATGTGTATTTCTTTTCTGAACTTGAGAGGCAAAGAGGTGAACAAGTACCTTCAATGGGGTTTCCTGCCCTGATTCCCTCCACCCAGACTTCTCAGCCAGCTGGATCATGGGCACACACTAGTGACCATTCAACTTTATAAGTGACTGTGAAAAATTAAGACAGCTGCGTGCACATGCCACCTGGAATAGACCTTGAAAATGTAGCATTCTGCACAGAATACTTCCCTCTTCCACTGAGTCAACAGACAAAACCCTAAGTGTCAGGTGGTATTTATGAGGCAGGGGATTATCCCTTACAGTACATAGCTAAGTTTCTTTACTTATCGAACTCAACAAGCACATTTACAATGTATCATAAAGTGATCATATACATAAAAATATAAAGAGGCGATCTGATATTAATTTCCTGTTCCCCTTATTTTGGAATTGATTATGGTACACTCAGGCAGTAGTTCAAAAAATGTCACTTTTTGGGTGCAATGTTGATTTACATTTGTGTCTTTTCCAGATTACATGCATAGATTTCCATATTTCCCTAAACCTCCCTGGTCTTTGCGGGAATCATATTTGTGTGGAGTGTAATTATTGTTTCTGATTTTTTTTTTTGCATTTCCAATTTGTGCTTAAGTTAAACTTGTACTTTGTCATTTTCAACCCATTCTCTCACAATAGTAATTTGGAATATGAGGCATTAATTACAATTTTTTTGCAAGTCAACTTATTTATTCACTCTCTTTTCTTCTAAGTTGTCTCTCTTTAGGTACTTTTTATTACAGCTTCTAGCTCACACTTTCTCCTTACCTGTCACAGTGATAAAAGGCTAGGAAAAGAACCAAAACAATGGCATATTCCAGTTTTGACTAGTACTGCTTTCTCAATTGTCACAACAAAAGAAAACAAGGATATCGCATAAATAGTGTAGAACGGGATTTCTTGCCCTCAGAATTATTAACAGTTCGGGTAGAAAATTTTTTTTTCCTTTTTGTTTTGTTTTTATTTTCTTGCTATAGGGCTTGTGTGCTTGTCAGCGAAAGACAAAGAGGAGAGAGAGAGGGGGAAATCAACCCCCAGGAGATGGCCATGATGCAATCCCTCCTCCACCAGTCTCATGATTTTGGGTATGCACACACACATGTCCAGCATGATTTTGAGGTCACCAGGTCTGGAACTCGAACCACAATGTCAACTGTGTGGGATCCAGTGCCTTAACCTCCATGCCACCATCTGGCCTAGATCAAAGAGGAGAGAGAGAGAGGGAAATCAACCCCCAGGAGATGGCCATGATGCAATCCCTCCTCCACCAGTCTCATGATTTTGGGTATGCACACACACATGTCCAGCATGATTTTGAGGTCACCAGGTCTGGAACTCGAACCACAATGTCAACTGTGTGGGATCCAGTGCCTTAACCTCCATGCCACCATCTGGCCTAGATCATTCTTTCTTGATGGAGGGGTTGCTCTCAACATGGTAGGGTGGTTTAATGAGATGTCTGTAACAATCCCTTCCCTCATGATAAATCTCAAAATGCCATTCCCTATAAGGGCAAAATTCCTTCATGAATTTTATTTTGTGTGTTACACACTGATCATATGAAGTCGTATATTTAAACATATTCTTATAATTTTTTGTTTCTTTGGGAAGCAAAGACAATGGAATTTGCTTTAGCCTTTAAGAATTCTTACTAGAATGATACCATTTTGTGGGTTTTTTTTTTATTCACTGATGAAAATTGATTTTTACTATACTACAGGATTGTCAACGAGTAAAGTGTACAATGAGTACAATTACTATCTTATGTGTTGTATGACTATTTTACACCCACCATTTTCACTTAGTACACCAGAAAAGATTTCTTAAATTTTTATGAAAACAATCCTAATTATCTAAAATAATCCTTCCAGCATATGGTCATGTTATCAGAAAATCTGTGAGTGGTTCGTCCAGCTGAGAAAGTAGAAACTCATAACTCACTGTCGAGCCACCGATGTGCTGGCAAAAGCTGAAATTAAAACTGTGTCTGAAGACAGATTGACATTCAAGGCCAAGTTTCTACCATCTCCTACAATTGATGATAGAATTTAATCGGACAGGCTCATCGGGACAAGTTGAAAAATTATTTCATATCCTGAACTCCAATGATTAATAAGTATTTTATTCCTCTCAATAAATCATGGATGTATTAAAGATATATGAACAGGCTTTTCTATGTCCAAAGTGCATCAATAAAGAATTTTATATATGTTAAGGAAAAAGTGACTCACAAGGTATAAATGTTAAACATGCTATTGAATTTCTAAAGGAAGGTACTAGAACTGTTTTTTCTGTCAAAGCCATTGGGCTTTCTTATGCCATAGTAACCACGTCTGGGGATCTATTCCAATGTGTGCTGCTTCTCTGACTTCTCAGTCACTGTTTAGAG